ACACTTGACATGTTAACATAAAAGTATATAATAAATGGTCGTGAAGTTGCATTATACCAACATGTTTGTACATGTTAGCACAAAGTATAATTGGCGTGTTAATTTAAAGTTTATTTTTAAAATGTTCGTGCAGTTATATGAATATACAAAGAAAATTTCCACGTACGTTATATACGTATGGTATATATACATATATAGCTATGGGGCACATTAAATTGTTAAGGCAAATGTATAAAGAGTATCGTAAATTTATAACACTACAGATGATCCGTATATATGTGACAAATACATAACAATTCTACTTACAATGGGCTAAATTACGTACAAAATACAGAAGCTATCCACTCGTATCGTAAGTCAGTCCTTACATTATGTACAAACAATGGTGGAATGGTGTTGACGAAGTCTTAGCGTAGATGGTAGTTCATTGGAAAGGCGTTATGCTACAAATTTTAGACTCGTTCTCAGTGGTATTCAAGCGTAGTAATATACGAGTGTACAATAAACAGACATCTATAACGATGTTGACAAAAACGATTTACTAAGCTTATAACACCATAAACAAATCATCGAGGTTATAAATCGGTAACAATCATGACATATAAAGATAGATGTGATAACAGTTACACAGTAACGTATGTGTAACTGTTATTAAGTTATAACGGTAAAGTCCGTGGTTCAATTCCCCACAGTTGAAACAGCATATTGCCTAATGTGGTTTTGATCTAAAACAAACACACAATACTGATGTGTGTGAATGAATATTCTAGAAATATTTACTGGTTTAATGTGTGCGACTGCGAGTTTCGATAAGTAACAAAAAAGTATGTTTTCAAACACTGAAAGTAATAGTTAAATATAGCTTGTTAGTTACTACGATCTAGATTTAGCAGGTGACCCAAGACGAAGGTGAAACTAACTTAACCGCTGCCAAGTCAATTTACTGTTTGGAAAATGTTACAATTAAGAAAGAAAGAAGAAAAAGTTGAACGAATGAAAATCGCAATATTTGAAAAAAAAGTGTCAGTTAAAAGTTATTTTTATAAGTAAATATGTAATTTAGGTTTCTTATTTTTTTATATCACCCCTTCTCATCCTGTACTTTGTTTCATGACCTCTTTGATTTTCTCTGTATTATGAAGTTATATTTGTTTTACGATTTATCGTCGTGACACAGCTATATGCTTCGGTTGAGTTCTGTGTTATTCGATGATGCCCGCAGGAGGGAGTGAATTAAGCAGGTTTTTTTTTTTTCTTGTCAGAATTACAAATACATAATAAACAGTAACGTGATACAATTTCCCCTTTTTATTAAAAAGAAATCCTCTTAAAGTAAAAGGAAATAACAGTACTTTACTTAAAATTGTTGTCCTGAGTCTTTGCAGACAAGTTCTACGTCTATATTTATTAACATTATGTGAATTGTGTAAAGAAATATATATATATAACTGTACAATTACCTCAGGGCATTTAACTGTGTTACGAGTTCTTCTGGAGCATTAAAAGCAAAATTGAAATAAACATAAAGTATACTTTTCTCTTTTTACTTATCAAAGATGTGCAGAGTAGGTGAAGTTTAATATAAGTATGGAGCGTTTGATAATTGTTACTTACGCTGCAAGTTAACCTTAAAAAGGCCAGGAGAAGATACTTTAAGAGCGATATTTTAAATAAAAACAAATAAACTATGTACGATTACTTTATTTGTAAGAAAATATTCAGAATTAAAATATAAAGACCAATGTTAGATCAAGCTCAAAATGTTTAAGTAACTGACAATAACGTTTACTTTAATGTATAGATATAACAGTTTTCTTTCACTCAACATTCAAGCTAAGTTTTACGAGTGTTCCCGTCTAGAACTAGCAGTAGCTACGGTAAATATAAATTTACTGTCAATTGAGTTCTGAAGAATTAGTTGTAACGATGTTGAAGAAACTGAAACATTGAACGTAAACGAAGAATGAAATGTTAATTTTTATCCACATCAACTTATGTGTGTACTTCTCTTGTCAAGCTTCTTCTAGTTTTTGGGACACACACATAGTGTACTTGTTCTGTGCCAAAATACAGTTTGAATAAACCGCCTGTAGGGGTCGCCTGTTTTAACCATTCGCACCACTATACAGTAGGGTGTTGTCAGTCAGTAGACACTAAAATTACGTAACACAATGGACGCTTAACGTTACAGTTTGTACAGCCGTGTCAGAAAAACGTGCGTAAGCCATGAATCACGAGAAGAATTATGCACTCTGTAGGTACAACACAGAATGAGATATGAACTTCAAAAGCAAGAAATGAAAAATATTTATTACTCTTAACTTTGGTTTTATTTATTCTTTATTCTTGAAACAGAACACTTTCGAGGACCCTGCAGAAGTATATCTGGTTCTATTAATTCATTTACTTTAGTGCTCCCCCAGTGGCACAGCGGTATGTCTGCGGACTTACAACGCTAGAATCTGGGTTTCGATACCCGTGATGGGCAGAGCACAGATAGCCCATTGTGTAGCTTTGTGCTTAATTATAAACAAACAAAATCCTTTACTTTAGTATGAATGTTTTATATGAGAAAAAAATTCCAATTTTCCTATTGTTTTGCTACATAGATGTAACTAATTTCATGTTAATGGCACTCATTTCTAAAGGAGACTACGTAGTCTCTCCTTGAATATAATGTGTATTTCATCTGCTATGTTGAAAGAATACTTGCATAATTTACGCAGGTTTTACCATTCCAAGCCCCCAGTAACTCAGCGATACGTCTGAAAGCTTCCAACACTAAAAACCGGGTTTTGATACCTGTGGTGGGCACAGTACAGTTAGCCCATTGTGTAGCTTTGCGCTTAACCACGAACAAATAATAAATTATAATTTACATGTTAAAACAGAAAACAATTTATTATGGGGAAAAGGAATGTTGCCTCGTGATTATTATTTTTGACAAAAAATAGTTGTTGTTCCTAATAATAAGTTGTTGTTTTTAATGCTGTATATTAATTAGAGACAATCAAAGCGTTAGGGTGTATATTTATAAATTTTCAGTATTAATACCATGTACATAAACACTCTTGACATTAAATTATATATATATATATATATATATATATACGCAACGATACGTACAACACTCTTGACGAGAAATAATTTTTACACCACGCAACAATGCGTACAACACTCTTGACGAGAAATAATTTTTACACCACGCGGCATTAAATTATTTTTAGATCATGGAACAATAGGTAAAACAGTCTTGACATTGAATTATTTTTATATCATGCAACAATAAGTAAAAAAAAAGTATTGGCTTCACAATATTTTCATATCATGCAACAATAGATACAACAGTCTTGGCATTAACTTGTTTTTACACCATGTAACAACATATAAAATCTTATTTATTCAACGAAGAATCAATAAATGAAGACTGACACAATGTACAAAGGATTATTTCACGGAAGAATCTGAAGCACTTGCATCAAATAAGAACTTACGACTTTTCAACAATGTCTAAAGCATACGTTCATAGGTAGTTTACGTGTGATGAATGTAAAGACATCTGTGTCAGAAAAACTAAGCGTCATCTTTTCGTTCTTGTCTGTGAGAATCCAGTAATGCATGTTCAAGCCCACGGGCTTCTGTAATCTGTAGTCACAGCGAGAGAGAATCGAACACCAGATCTCCTTGTCTTGGATTTCACAATTTTAACTATCGATGAATTATTCTTAGAACTGCTAGTTAAAACAAGACTGCTGATAACTAATTACATGTGTGTGTGTGAAAAATGAGAGAGTATTCGTGTATTTTATTTCACTGTACTGTAGTGCCAATTATCAGAAAGGTTTGACTTTTCACTTCACATAAACATTTTAAATAAGAGCGCATTAGAAGGAAATAAAATAGCCCGAGGAAAACTGGGCCACAATGATTCCCCAGAGAATCTAAGAAAAAAAACAAACCAAACTATAAACTGAAGTCTTTTGTGCAGTAAGGTATCCATGTACGAAATTTTGGGTGGATCTGGAGTTACGATGGACGGGCAGGAGGTGTACAAACCCTTGGAGATAATTATAAAGGGAGATGAAAAAAATCCACTCTCATTTGGTGGGCCTGAGTGCTGAGAGGACGGGTTTTGGCCCGCCCAGGCCCACCCGCCGTTACATCACTGCTTTTGTGGTATAAGACTTCAAACATTAACGAGAACAAAACGTTTCTATAAAACAAGTATCGTGTTCTTCTTTTCTCATGAAATGGTTTCTGAGAACGATGTAATTGATTTAAGAGAGTATTTATGAAATAGGCTGTAGACGTAAGCTCCATCTTCATAGGAATGGCCCCACTAAAAGTATAAACTACACTGTTAACTTTCATTTTCGATCGTCGTCGTTCTGCCTTCAAGAACTAAAATCCGATTTTTAACACCTTGATGGATACCATCCAAACACTCACCGCAATCAAACATATACCAGTCGTATTTGTTTATGGCTTTAGCTTGTGTGATTGAACCTAAGATAAAACTGTGAGCTCATTGAACTTTATTGAGGTTTTTACTTTGGATAACTATATTTGTTTCGCTCACTTTAATATTATATACCAAACATCCATCATTTTTCGAAAGCATTTTCTTTTTTGATCATTATTATTTGAAATTAAAACATTTTGAATGTGCGAAGACAAATAAATGATTTGTCCAAAACTTATAATACTTTATAAATTCACAAAGTGCCCAAATTATAGTTAAAATCTACCCAATTAACATCTGCCTAACTCTGCACAGACACTTTCCAGTATTTCCCAACTCTTGAATTTCGTTAGCTTCGGCCCACGGTGCGCTTACCTATTCTAAGGTACAGGTTAGAAACCAGGACAGTATAAAATGTGAGGGCGAGAGCTACGCGTAGTTGGGAGTTGTTGTTTCTGAGGGATACAGGTAGATCTACTAAGGTGAACGAGAGACTAGATACGTGCAGCTGTCGGCAAAGGAACCTACCAAGTCGTCTCAAGTCCACGTGATGGTTTATTCTACACCCTATATTTTATAAAATTTATAGGCAATAGTTCTGGAATCCCAGTAATGCGTTATTGATTTCTTCGAATCATTCTTATCGTCTATGCCTTTTTTTGGTCAACTAGCCAGCAAGTTAGCTCGAAACTGTTTTGACAGGTTGTGCCGGTTTTCTCGCAGGCCTATCTGCAAGTTTCACCATTCTTACCGGTCTCGGACGTCGGTACCAGAAGACTTTGCCGTAGGTTTGTTCAACCTGCTAAGCCGTGCCATTAAACTGTTCGAAATTGTTAACCAACCAAGCGGTTTAATTATTTTTAGATCAACTAATACTCTCTCTCTCTTTGCTGTCGGAATTCTGTAGAATTTTCTTTGAACTCTGATTATTTCTTTCTTCGCCAACAATCTCAAAATGAAAATAAGGTAAGTTGGACATTTTTCTATTGTGTTTTAGTTTTACTTTGTAAGTGGTGCTTTGTGACATTTCGAACATCTTAGAGGCAGATGAAGTGAAACTTATGAAAAAACAGAAATTTTAATCACTAGAGTAGCAATCCATAGTTAAAAGTGTTAAAAATATAATTAATATTTTCGTCTATTTTACCATTCAATCTACTTGTTTCGTCCCTAGTAGTCAGGGCGCTCGACTCGCAATCTGAGGATTGTGGGTTCGAATCTCCGTCACCGAACATGCTCGCCCTTTCAGCCGTGGGGGCGTTATAAGTTTACGGTCAATCGCATTCCTCTATTCGTTGGTAAAAAGAGTATCCCAAGAATTGGCGGTGGGTGGTGTCGACTAGCTGCCTTCCCTCTAGTCTATCACTGTTAAACTGGGGACGGCTAGCACATATTGCTCTCGTGTAGCTTTGCGCGAAATTCAAAGGACACCGAACCAAATCGTCCTGCTGAAGCAAACACCATAAAACACAACTACACAGCTAACATAACTGCATAAAGAAATAAATAATCAGACAACCTAAACGGACATGGTCCTAAGAAGGAAAGTAGCAACAGTAACTAATAGACATCCAAACCAGCTGACCAAAAACCATAAAACAGTTTTCATCAAACAACAACAGTTCAAGAGGGAGAAAGAGGTCTACGTTGTGCTTGACTCTCCCACGTCTTGAAGACCCAAATTCCAATGATGACGACGCTATCGAAGCAATGAAAATTATTAACTTTAAAAGTAACACATATGAGTTTATGTTGGCTGTGTTTCGATATCTGCGTTCTGCTTTAACTTGTAACGTTCAGCAATGAATAGCACGTGTGAATTAATAATGTTGATGTTATAACGCTAATGTAACTTTCTTTTACCCAGGTTATCTTATGTGAAAATTCTGATGACCGACTTTATTGTTCTGTTTTGACACTTACAGATTTCACCATAATTGCCATACAATTTTCACACCTTTTCTGCAAATTTTGCTTTTATATTTTACCCATCTACATTTTTTAAAAGTTTCATTAAAACCACGTGGTTTGTGTGTGCTTCTGTTAAAATCTCTCGGGTAACAATTTCATTATTATTGAGGCACTGACAACGTGTTATTGGTTTTTAAAAATCCTACTATACATATATGTGTGTGTGTGTGTGTATTGAAAAGCAACAAAATATTTACAATTGCTTCTTGTCTCTTCTCCCGGTGGCTCAGACGTAAATTTGAGGGCTTATAACGCTCAGAATCTTGGTTAGATCTCTACGGTGGGCACAGTGCATATATCCCATTGTGGAGCTTTGCCCTTAATCAAACAAGCAGCATGTAGCATTAGTTTTAAAAAAAGTATTTGTATTTGCATGAAAAGTGAATAGCTTGGTTATTGTACACAAACTTTTATTGATAAATATTAAAGAAGGTTTAAAGTTAAACGATGCATTTATATCATAGTTATGAATATGAGCTAGTGTTGAAATAAGCATTATTTTCAATATTGTGCCTCCTTGGCCACAAAGTTTGAAAGTGTTTACAAAACTCAGCTTTATGTCCTAGTGCTTTCCGTTGTTTACTTGGCGTTCCAAACCGGTTCCTTAGGAGGTCGTGTACATGGCATGCAGAACGAGCTGCGAAATACATTGTATGGAAACGATTGTCTCAATTAAGAGAGAAATGCATATATGAAAAGGAATTTGACTGTAAAACACACTTACTCTTATATTTTGAATCAAATCAACACCAGTTTGTTAACAAACTGTAAGTTAACACTGTTTGTTAAATTTCGCCCCAAGCAACTCGATAGCTATCTGCAACAGGCGTCCCTAATTTAGAAGTAATAGAGAAGAGAGAAGACGGCTACTCAACACCAACTACCGCCATCTCTTGGACTATTCTTTTCCAACGAAACTTAGTATTGACTGTCACATTATAACACCCCCATGGCTGAAAGGGTGAGCTTGTTTGGTTTTGAACTTGCAGATCGCAGATTTTGAGTCGAGCGCCATAACCATCGGGCCTTGCCAGGGAGACTAGAGGGAAGTCAATTATTCAACAACAATAATCATAATGCCATGCCAAGTAAGCTAGAAGGAAGTCAACTATTTAACAGCACTAACCATAAGGCCATGCCAGGCAGACTAGAAGGAAGTCAAATGTTCAGTAGCACGAACCATAAGGCCCTGCCAGGCAGATTAAAGGGAATTCAATTATTCAACAGCACTAATCAGAAGGCCATGCCAAGTAGACTAGAGGGAAGTCAACTATTCATTAGCACTAACCACAAGGCCATGCCAGGCAGACCAGAAGGAGGTTAATTATTCAACAGCACTAACCATCAGCCCATGCCAGACAGATTAGAAGGAAGTCAAATGCTCAGTAGCACTAACCATAAGGCCCTGCCAGGCAGATTAAAGGGAATTCAATTATTCAACAGCACTAATCAGAAGGCCATGCCAAGTAGACTAGAGGGAAGTCAACTATTCATTAGCACTAACCACAAGGCCATGCCAGGCAGCCTAGAAGGAGGTTAACCATAAGGTCATACCAGACAGATTAGAAGGAAGACAAATATTCAAAAGCACTAACCATAAGGTCATACCAGACAAATTAGAAGGAAGACAAATAAAGCTATGCCAAGTAGACTAGAACGAAGCCAAGTATTAAACAGCACTAACCATAAGGCCATGCCAAGTAGGCTAGAACGAAGTCAACTATTAAACAGAAATAACCATAAGGCCATACCAGGCAGACTAGAAGGAAGTCAACTATTCAACAGCACTAACTAAAATGCTTTGCCAGGCAAGCTAGAAGGATGGTCAATTATGCAACAGAACTAATTATAAGGCCATGTTAGGAGTGTTAAAGTGACTTTTCAGAAAGTTGTCGAAATACGTTCTCTATTATAAACAAATATCGCTTTTATTTTCTCTGCTGTTTGATGTTGATGTAGTTAAAGTATTCTATTTCATTAAATAAACCTATTAATTTTCTTTTTTTTATCTTGTTCTCTAAAGTTATATTAATATTTTAGTGTTCCCATAGAATAAAGTTGTATTTAGCTTGTGTCATGAGTAAACTATTTGCGTTGTTATATGAACTATATTTTGGTTTATTTCCTTCTACAACTTTTAATTACAATGAATTTTGTAGTTTTACATTACCACTCGCAGTTAAAGTGCTAATACGTCACACAGAAACTAGATGTCGTCTCGGTAAGATAACCAAGTAAGGTCGAAATCGTGAGAACAACGTTGATGAAAACCACATTTTTTCCTTCTTGACTGTAGACAGCATAACTTGATGTTTGCCTGGAAAAATTACACTTCGATATAATTTTAGTGAATAGTAAAATCCATAAACTTGCTTGTCTGATTCTTCATTGCCAGCACTTTATTTATTCTCGAAACCCAAATCTTCTTAAGTCGTTGTTCTTATACTTCGAAGTCTTTTATATTATTATCTTACGAAAGCCAAGTAATCAGTGTATAGAATAAAATGTCCCAGAAACTTTATTTAAATCATGCAGAATGGTTGCCTTAGTTGTGTTTTCCTATCTTAAAGTGACAGTATGGCTAAAAAAGGTTTCTGCAGCTATGTGTTAAAACATTTGCAAATTAGATAAATTTGTTAATTTTGAGATACTGGGCACATATGAGATAATAGTGAGTTATATATATAATGTTGTATATGATATAATATTGAGTTTTATATAATGTTATGTATGAGATAATGGTGAGTTATATTATATATATGTGTATGAGATAGTGAATGTTATATAATGTTGTGTATGAGATAGTGATTGTTATATAATGTTGTGTATGAGATAAAAGTTATATATAATGTGTATGAGATAAATTTAGTTATATATAATGTGTATGAAATAAAATTGGGTTTTATATAATGTTTGTTCATTTAATTCTACTATTTTGTTAATAACTAATGTTCATACTTGAAATAGCGATACTGAAATTATATGTCTGTGAAAGCTTTTAAATAATATATTTTTTGTTAGACAAATTTTAGTTTTTCTAGAAAGGAAATTGGGGTCAGTGTGAACTTTCCAAAAATCACCCTTGGTGAACTATCACTATTTTTCACTATATAACACCTAAGCTATGACATAACTGCATAGCGGAAGATATGCAGACGATATTGGTCAGCTAATAAATGTTTAAATAATCGATATTCAAAAATATGTTTGACTACTAAGTCAGTAATATATTAATTAGAATTCTAAACTAAAGTGAACTTGTATTATATATTACACACACCTGTAAGTGTAGAAAGAGACCGTGACTGAATTCACAGTAGGGGTCACTAAAGGTAATAACCCACTTTCATCTTATAAAGAAACAGCAATAGGATTCCATTGTCTTGGAAGGGAGAGAGAAATATATATATAGCGAGGCCTACAAGGGAAGTCATTCACTTATATGCTCAAATTCAATAACAGGGAAAGGTTTGAGTAGTCATATATGTTGTGTGGGAGAATTTATCAAAGTCAGGATTACTGTACTTGAAATAAAACTATTCGAACAGATAATGCACCAACTATATAGCTCATGTAGAAAACTAAACACTTGCAGGAGCAAGATATTGTCCCAGTAACCCCTCAGGCTTGGATCGTAGTTTGTTTAACACGGAGTAAATAACTTCGGTTTTATTCACACCTGAAACACTGTTTTGCGTTTCCAAAAAACTATCACCGGTTTACATTTATACATAAGTTTATTCTTGAGCAACATGATATTAGTTAAATGTGATACAAGTTATTTCATTCTATTATATCGACTTGTTTCCAAACGCAAACCGATGACGTAGCCATTTCGGATATTCTTCAAATTTTGTTTTCTTGAAAGCTTGAAATGTGATTGGTTTGTTCTGTTTGGAATTTCGCACAAAGCCGCTAGAGGGCTATCTGCGCTAACCGTCCCTAATTCAGCAGTGATACACTAGAGGGAAGGCAGCTAGTCATCACCACCCACA